AGGCTGAGGCAGGAGAATGGCGTGAACCCGGGAGGCGGAGCTTGCAGTGAGCTGAGATCCGGCCACTGCACTCCAGCCCGGGCGGCAGAGACTCCATCTCAAAAAAAAAAAAAAAAAAAAAAGAAGAAAAAAGAAAAACAGTTCTGGAAATGAAGAGTGGTAATGGTTGCACACTGTGAATATACTTAATGCCACTGAATTATCATACCTAAAAATGATTGAACTGCAAAATTTTATGTTATGTATATTTTACCGTAATAAAAACATATATACACATATGTATTAAAATTTAAAAATATAATAACTTATTTCAGTGACCTAATGCACCAGTTCTCATGAGTCTGGCCCAGAACCCTGGAGTTTCCCAATATTCTTTCAGTGGGTCCGGAAAGGTATTAATAATACTCAAGACATTATCTATCTTTTACTTTCTCATTCACTCACAAGGGTACAGTGCAGTTTCCAAAGGCTTCCATCAAGCCAAACATTGAAGAGATTTGAAAAAAATATAATAAAATAAAACAATATCATTCTTCTCATTAAATTTTGTTTGGGAAAACACAGTTTTCATTTAAAATATGTTATGTTCACATTTAATAGGATTATTGTTGTTTGTTTTTGGTTTTTTTTTAGAGATGAGGTCTCGCTATGTTGCCCAGGCTAAAGTACAGTGGCCAGTCACAGGCACAATTATCACACACTATACCCTAGAACCCTCTGACTCATGCAATCTTCCTGCTTCAGCCTCCTAAGTAGCTGGGATTATAGGCACATGCCAACACACCAGCTGTGGCTATTTTTAAATAACTAAATAAATATTTCGAATATTTAAGTGTTGATTTTTAATATGGTAAATATCAATAGAAAAAAGCCACATAAACAAAAGCTCTTTGGTATCCTTAGTGATTTTTTAAAATATAAGGAAGTCCCTGAAACTAGAAAGTGTGAGAACCACTTGCCTAATGACATCATTCAAAAAATGTTTCTTTCTCTTTTAGTAGCTGCTAAAATATTCTAATCCTTAGCCTATACAGAGATTTAACCCTCACCTGCTGTCCATTTCGGATAAAAGTTCCAAACCAAGTGCGGACCTTCGCATTTGTTCCAAGAAGCAAACCACTTACAAAACAAACCAAGTCACTCACTCCATCCTCACAAGCTTCATTTTTAGTATGATCCAATGTCAAAGCCACACCAAGGCCTGGCAAGTGACATTCCTCCACCTAGCACAGCAAAGAAAACAAACTGAATTCAGTATCATAAGCAAAAAGGGCAAGGATGCTTCCAAATCTAAAGTGTCTAAAGTTTAGAGGAAGAAATCCTACAAAACATAAAAACCCAGAGAGAAAGGTAACATATCCAGTATATAAATAAAATTCCCAACCTCTACAGGACTCTAAAACCATCTTGAGAAGAGTTCTTGGACCTTTGTCTAATAAAACACGGGATCGCTTACCACCATGCCTCGGACCTTGAGGGCCTGAGAAGGATTCATTTTACACAAGAAGCGTAAGGCATCTGTCCTGCGCCTTCCTCCAAGACTTTCTTCATCTTGTCGTTCTCCATTTTTTATCAGGCCCCTACAAACTAACATGATAGAAACCATCTTCTTCAGCCTTGAGAATTAATTGTTTATGACGATTTGACACGACAGAAGAAAAGGATCAGGGTATTTGAAAGCACAACAACAGAAATTGGCCAAAATGAAGCAAAAAATGAAAAGAGACTTAAAAAAGAACAGTAACCTCCAGGACAATATTACACACTCAAACACACTTGCAATTACGGTACCAGTGAGATAAAGTAGAAGACAAAAATACATTTGAGGGCCAGGGGCAGTGGCTCACACCAATAATCCCAGCACTTTGGGAGGTCGAGGGGGCGGGTCACCTGAGGTCAGGAGTTCAAGACTAGCCTGGCCAACATGGTGAAACCCCATCTCTACTAAAAATACAAAAATTAGCTGGGAGTGGCGGCGGGCACCTGTAATCTGAGCTACTCAGGAAGCTAAGGCAGGAGAATCACTTGAACCAGGAGGTAGAGGTTGCAGTGAGCCCAGATTGCATCATTACACTCCAGCCTGGGACGACAAGAGCAAACCTCCGTCTCAAATAAATACATTAATTAATTAATTTGAAGAAAGTTTCCCAAGTTGAATGAAAACTCTAAATCCAGTTCAATGAGCCCTAGGTGGGACAAATGCAAAGAAAATCATACCAAGAAACATCATACATCAACTTTCTGAAACCAGTAATAAAAAGAAAATCTTAAAAGTAACCAGGGCCAGGAACAGTGGCTCACGTCTGTAATCCCAGCACTTTGGCAGGCCGAGGTGGGTGGATCACGAGGTCAAGAGTTCGAGACCAGCCTGGCCAATATAGTGAAACCCCATCTCTACTTAAAATACAAAAATTAGCTGGGCGTGGTGATGCGCAGTCCCAGCTGTAGTCCCAGCTGCTCAGGAGGCTAAGGCAGGAGAATCACTTGAACCCAGGAGGTGGAAACTGCAGTGAGCTGAGATCACACCACTGCACTTCAGCCTGGGCGACACAGCAAGACTCCATCTCCAAAAAAAAGAAAAAGTAACTAGAGCAGAAGATGGGCGCATCACCTCAGGTCAGGAGTTCGAGATCAGCCTAGCCATCATAGTGAAACCCATCTCTATTAAAAATACAAAATTAACCAGGCATGGGGGGCACACGCCTATAGTCCCAGCTACCCAGGAGGCTGAGGAAGGAAAATCGCTTTAACCCCAGGGTGAGCGGAGGTTGCTGTGAGCCACACTTGTGCCACTGCCCTCCAGCCTGGGCAATAGAGCAAGACTCCGTCTCCCAAAAAAAAAAAAAAAAAAAAAAAAAAAAAAAAAAAAAAAAAAAAAAAAGGCAAGAGGATTTAGGTTTTGAACATGTCAAGTTTAAAATGCACACTCATGTAGAAGAGTAAGCAATTAAGTACATGCATTTTGAACTTTGGAGAGAGGTTCTAGGAAGACAGATAAGTTGTTAAGATGATAAAAAACTATAACATGTTAGTAAGCTTGAGGGTACTATCCGATAAAGATGTAAGAATTCATAATGTAGATGGAAAAAAATTACTAAGGCTAAACCTTTGAGTGAGAAAGAAGAGATGGAATCTAGTGAGTGAGAGAAAAAGTTGGCTTAAGATCTAAACAGATGTTAGATCCTTAATAACAGGACAAATAAAAGCAGAATATATGGGAACAAAAGCCAGAAGCAAGTGACAGGATATATATGGTGGGGGGTGGGTGGGATTTATGCAGGTTCCCTTTGATTGCATCTAATATTTGCAGTGGTACAAGAAGCAAGGTCTTCATTCATGGTTAATGGTGGGGAAACGATTATTCCAGGTTTGAAGATACAGAAAAAAAAAGAGTTTTGATGAATTCAAAAGAGAAAAAAAATGAGAATATAATTTGCTTTTAAAAGAAGCCACTTA